CCAATCATTTACCAGAAAAAACATCATTTCAGGGATCAAACAGTGTGGGATATGGCCTTATTCTTCGAGTGTGTTTTCCGAAGATGAATTTGCATGTGCTCCAGTCAATGAAGAAACAAGTCAATATGTTGACAAAGCAACTAATGAAACCCAACTTGTAAAACAAACAATTGGTCTGATAGATAGTCCTACTACAATCTCAGTTGAAGTAGCATCACCTTCTTGCAGCTTCACCCAAAATCAGTCCAAATCCCCTGGCCCAGAAGTTGTTAGGCCCCTTCCCACTATAGTCAAAAGTGGTAAAAAGGGACGTGGTGGAAAACAACCTGGAAAATCCCGAATCTTGACAGCAACGCCAGAAAAAAACCGGATCGAACAAGCAATTTTAGAAAAACAAGAACGAGAAAGAAAGAAAATGGAACGTAAATTAGAGAGAGAAGTTAAAGCAAAGAAAAAGCTTGAAATATCATCAAAGCCTAAACCACGGCCAAAAAAGCCCAAGTGAATCCTTTGCCAGATTCAAGTGATTCAGACTGCGAGTCTGTTCCTGATTATATGGAAAGTGATGACTCGCCATATAATGAATCATTTTCTGATTTGAATTCAGACTCAAGCTATCCTGAACCTGAAACTAACTTTCCCAAAATCAATCCGATTTTGGAGAAAAATTATGCTATATTTTATGACATCAACTGGTACTTAGGCAGAGTGATAGATTTTCCAGATGAAGGCGTAACAAAAGTTAAGTTTTTGAAAATGGGACTGGGAGATGCCTATGATTGGCCTAAAAATGATGATATCCAGATCATCAAAAATAAATTTATATTTTATAGCCCCGTCAATCTCATCGGAAATGGACCCTTCTTTATTGATGACAGATGTAGACGCCGTATTAGCAACAAATACAAGCAGCTGAAGAAAGATTAATCATTTTTTTGTGGAGAAAGGAAACAGATCCATTAGATAAAGGACATATTGAACAAAACATAAATTTTGTCAATTTTGACATTTTCTTTTTGAATTATTATGTGAAATAAAATGTATGCTTAAAGTAAAAGCCCTTAATAATACCAAATTTAAAAATTTATACGTAGTTTTTATTTATTAAAACCCTTAAAATACCGTTTTTTATATCTTGATCAAATGTACCCCGGGGCTGATCAAATGTACCCTACATTGGGGTGTACATTTGATCAACATGCATAAGTTTTTTTAAATATTTTTTAAAATTAATAATTTCTAACATTTTCTATTAATAAGACCAAAGTAATTTACCCAAAGATATGAAATGTCCGTTAGTATATTTGATTAGTAAAAAATGTCATAATTAAAAAATACCTACAAAAATAAAAGTTTAAAAGTTGATCAAATCTACCCCACTAAGCCGGTGGGCCTATTGTCCTGATGCCACTTAAGTTATTTTAGAGGTTTTTTTATCGGTGACAAAAAATACTACATAATTGAATAGAACATAGCCTTTAGGCTAATTGACAGCCTACTGTCCAAATTTGACATGATAACGATCAGCGGCCTTTGAGTTCTGCCTCGCAGAAGGCAGCGAAGTCGGCGAGGATTGAGTTGAATGGGTTGCCGCCGCTAGCTGCCACATGTACTCCCCCAAGTAGGTATACAGCGTGCTGCAGCAGTTATGTTAGGATAAGTTATCATAAATATGTTTGTAAGACGAAAGTCAATTTAAAGTCATTTTGTTAGGAATCAAACAAAACCAGATGAGTTATCACTCAGGACACTGGCCCAGATACAAACGCGGTGACAGGTGATGTGCACGCTCAACGACATGACCTTGGCCGACTTGGAGAGGATTTGGTGGGCGAAAGTATGACTCATCTGGTATCGTTCGATACATAACGAAACGAGGAAAGTCCTTTAAACATATTTATGATAAGCCAACCTAACATAACTTAACCACCACAGCGAGCTGTAATAAGGGAGGCCTCCGGATTATACCAAAGTAGCTTATTGTTAAAAAAACATCATAGGCATAATGAAAATTACCGGTATATTAAGGTAGGCCTACACCAAAAAGGTATTGGTATTTTCAGTTGTATTAAGATAACCAAGTTAACTTGGTACTACTTCTTTTCTTTAGATTAATTTCATATGATTATTTCGATCATAGATCGTACTAGAGTACCTAACTAAGTAATGTGTGTGAAAATTTTTGAAAAGGAGGCAAGAATTTAACCCTTTCTGGCATAACTAAAAAAAACCACCGCAGCAAACCTGCAGACTAAACAAATTACTACTAGGCCTACGCAAGCATTTATGAAATGCAGAAATACTATTTTGAAATGTTTTTTGGGTACAGTTTCTTAACTGGGCTACCTATGCTAATATTGATTGAATGTATCGAGTTGAAAATATTGATTAATAATCGATATTTTTCAATATCTCTATTATAAAATTAAACTATTTTAACCTAACCTAACCAACCTAACTTGCTGATGGTGAAAAAATCGCATAAAGGTTTACTAATCGAATCGATAGTTTCAATCGATATTAGCATAGCCCAGTTAAGGGGTACAGTTTCTTAACTGGGCTATGCTCACATCGGTATTTGTTTACTTTAGGGGCTTCTAACGAATTTTGAAAAAAATGTGTTTTTCTCATTATTTGGCCTATTTTGAACACTTTAAATTTGGCACTTTTGGGGCAAACACCTATTTCACCCTGAAAATCGCGTTTGAAAATTGCAAAAAGTGCTAAAAATTTGCGTAGTTTTTTTACTGTTAATGTGTTTTTACTACTACTAAGGACCTACAGAACTAAATATAATCCAACCTCACTTTATCTAATCTAACCCAACCTAACCTAACTTAACCTAACCTAACCCAACCGTAACTTACCTAACCAATGCTTAGGTTAGCAATATGCCGAAAATAGCGGATTATTAGTTAAACAAAGGTTAGGTTACGTTAGGTTAGGTTAGTTAAGGTTAGGTAAAGTATGGCTAGTTATTAAGTTATTATTTATACCAATTAGCCTAAAATCACCTTAATATTTTAAATCTAACCTATCCTAACCTAACTTAACCTTACGTATTCTAACCTAACTATATTTAAACTAACCTAACCTAACCTAACTTAACCTAACCTAACCCAATCCTACCTAACCTAACCCAACCCTACCTAACCAATGCTTAGGTTAGCAATATGCCAAAAATAGCGGATTTTTAGTTAAACCAAGGTTAGGTTAGGTTAGGTTAGGTTAGTTTAAATATACATCTGCTTATTACTACAATAATAAAAACACATTTAAAGAAAGGCAAGAGGGGGGAAACCTGATTTTCTAAGTAAAAATGGCAATTGCAGAAAAATGTTCGCGATTTTCAAACGCGATTTTCAGGGTGAAATAGGCGTTTGCCCCAAAAGTGTCAAATGTAAAAAGTGTTCAAAATAGGCCAAATAATAGTGATGTAAAATACCCGGGTATTTAAAACTCGGGGTAAATACCCTGGGTATTTACCCGGGTAAATACCCAAAATCCATAAATACCCGGGTATTTTGGGTATTTATGAAATCGATTGAAATTCATATATATTTACCCCTAAATATGTTATTGTTATCAGTACATGATAAATTAGGATAGTCTATAACACCTTTTACAGTAAGCTTTGCTAGTAGGCTACCTTTTATTTTATGATTTAGCACTTTTTTAAATAATACATAAAGTTTCTAAATAAGCATGGGGTTTCGTGTCTTAAATCGAGTAACATCAGTTAAATTTAACTTACTAAAAAATAGTATATTAAAAAAGGCTGTGGCTATTTCAATTTTTATCATTGAGAATGCTAGATAGAGAATGCTAGAAACTAAACACTCCCTATGAAATGAAATCAAGACAACACCTCATCAGAGAAATAGTGAACCTAAACCTACTTTTACTGTTATTAAATTATGATAGTTAAAATTTTTATTGTATAAATGGCTTGGAAGGCTAGACAGACCTAAGGCCTGATTGACATAGGCAGAATGGCAGAATACTAAAAGTACCTAATTAAACTTTTCTGTGTTACCACTTAGTTGGAAACAATAATATAGGCCCATTTGGATAAACCTACTAAAAAAATGTATCTCCTTTTTGAATGATTTATTGTGCTATAGAATCAAATGTTTTGTATCACAAGTTTATGAAATTAGTTTTTTTTTTTTTTTTATACCACTGATACCAACAAAAGATCTAGAACAAAAATACCTATTAATAGGCCTAAAACCTGCCATCCTACAGATTGAATTTTAATTATTTTCCTAAGTTGTTGAAACATAGGCCACTACCGGTACTAGGTTAAATTTTCCTGTTTTTCTAAATAATAATTATTACTTTGCAAATTATTTTTCTTCACTTTCAATAAAATAAATTTATCTATCTATCATAGAAAATAAAAAATCATAAGTAGTCAGGACCAGTGCAACCATGCGACCTGGGTATTTATGGTGATTATACCCAGAAGTAAAGTGCTAGTAGTGACCATATGAAATTTTGTTTAACACATTTTATCATCATTTTACTATCCTTACAGGGTAATAATTCCAAAAAAAATCTCAATCTTCTCTAACTTTAATAAAAATTATAAATACCCAGTTTTTGGGTATTTACCCGGGCCTGGGGTAAATACCCGGGTAAAAACCCAATTTATATTTACCTACCCACTGGGTATTTACCCGGCCCACATCACTACCAAATAATGAGAAAAAAACATTTTTTTCAAAATTCGTTAGAAGTCCCTAAAGTAAACAAATACCAATTAAACTATTATAACCTAACCTAACCAACCAAACTTGCTGACGGTGAAAAAATCTCATGAAGGTTTACTAATCGAATCGATGGTCTCAATCGATATTAGCATAGCCCAGTTAAGAAACTGTACCCCAGTTAAGAAACTGTATCCTGTTTTTTTCCTGGATTGTAACTTAATGCCTATCCTGGAAATAGGGTAACCACTAGGCCTAGGCCTAAGCTTAATCGGTTTTAAAACTTACCATCAGTCATTATGAATTATTCTGTTGGATATTCCACGTGGATATGAAATGCCTTATTTATTTTTTTAACTTCAAACGTGGTCCTGAAATTTTGACTTGCAGATATTAAACAGTAAAACACTATGAATGATAGGATACGCTCGGCCTAAACTACAACATAACCAATATAAATAGACAGCCACAACACAACAACACAACCAACCACACTCCACTCCAGTCTCCCGGTAGGGCACACGGGAGGGACTAAGGCTAACATATCTTGTAGTGTCAGCGTTCGCCGCTAGAACTGCTAAGTTGAAAAAATTTTGAATAATTTATTTTTTATTTTTAGTTATAAAATTAACTTTTTAATTATAAAATTTTGTTTTAAAATTATAAAATTAATTTTTAATTTTTAAAATTAAACTGTCATAACATAACCTAACCAACCAGACTTGCTGATAATATAAAAACTGTATAAGAAAAAAATCTAATTAATGATTACTTATAATTTTTAATTAATTATAAAATTAATTTTAAAATTTAGTATTATAAAATTAAACTGTCATAACCTAACCTAACCAACCAAACTTGCTGATATGAAAAATTTGTTGACAAAAAGTTAGGGCTGCCAGCGGGATTCGAACCCGGGACCTCCTGTATACCAATCCGAAACGCTATCTACTATGCCACGAAAGCCGCTGAAATTACATCTTTTCGTTATGGTAATCGTGTTGCCTCAAGAGAAGACATTAGCCACTAGAGGTATGACGTCACTACACCTTTAGCCTTAGTCCCTCCCGTGTGCCCATTCCTCCAGTCTCCAGTCACTCCACTCCCACTGCCACTTCACTTGAGTACTTACAGACAGTCCAGACTCCAGTCCAGTCCAGTCCAGAGAGAGGGAAGAGAGAATAGACAACAAGACAACGACAACGAAACGATTCATGAACTGGGAACAGTGGAACAGGAACTTCCCCTTCCTTAACGCAAATTTTTATTTCAGGATTACTTTTGACAACATTGTCATTTGGAGGCTTCTGATTGACTATAATGAAGGTTTACTAATTGAAAAATTAATTTTGTTCATAAAATAAAATTATAAATGGCTCAAATTCAGTTCTGTTTCTTCATAATATTGCCAAACGGCTAAATCATTTTCCAAAATAAACTTATCACAGACTTTTTAAATAAGTTCTATATTTCGGCATAAGTTGTATCATAGATAAAAGGAGTGTTGTATATTCAAATTCAATTCTATAATTGTTTAATTATAAAATTAAACTGTTCTAACCAAACCAAACTAACCAGACTTGCTGATAATGAAAAATCAAATGAAGTTTTAATCGAAAAAATAGTTCTGTTCATAAAATAAAACTATAAACATCATGCGGCTGTTGAGTTAAAAGTAAATGGTTATCGAGAAGTTGGTACTAAATAAATGAATAAAAAGGTTTTTAATTAGCGAGTGTTTTTCAGATACAATAATTCTGCTTTCAAAACAAATCTTGTCCATAATACCATAGATAAAACATAGTACTCCATTAGTTTTGTGTTGTTTAGTGTTATACTTGTGTTGCTTAGTCTATGATAATACACTATCCATAAAAATACCTAACTATAAAACAATATATAAATAATCTATGAAAACAATGTAATAAACTATAGATAAAACGATTAAAACCATGAATACTATGTTTCTTGTTATTTCAGTAATTTAAAACCCCGTTTAACCAATTAAAATTATGGTAATCATAAAGAATAACGCATCTTTCCTAGTTATAAAACCAAAACATTAAATCACAAATCATGAAATTAACTACAATACAAAATAATAGAAACAAAATTTCCTCGACAGTAGTCGCACCTGCAGTGTAACCGGACATGAACTAGACACAAAAAACAAGCTTCAATATTTACAATGGGATGGGAAGTCTACACTCCATGCCAACAATCTATTAAGCAATTTTTGTTATTCTCCATTTGAAATTTAACAAAATTGATGTATCTCACCTAACACAATAAGTAGGATTAATGGAAGCAGTTTGTAGAGCTTTTAGGTTATAATGTGGTAGTTAGTTAGTACAGAAATCTGAGTTCTGATATTAAAAGCTTCTTAAGTTTACTAGGTGCTTTGCTTGATTATGTGTGTAAGAAAAAACTAATTATCAATTGATTTTGGGAAGTGACTTCAACATTGATATACTTAAAGAGATTTGTGACCAGTACTACAGTATGTTTCACAATTTCCTTAAGTCATTCAATTTGTATTGTATAAGTAAGGAGCCTACCAGAAACCCGAGTTGTCTGGATAACATAGCCATACTAATTGTCATGAATCACAATTTAAACCAGGAGGTTTTTGCTCTACATAATTTCCGATCACTCAATTATTTGGTGTGAGTTACTATTACAGACTCCACAAAAATGAAAGTTAGATGAAATGTCCTATAGAAATCTGAAACAGATCAATTTGTTTGCAAGCTCTTTGGCCAAAACTGAATGGGATGAATTGTTTTGTACTCCTGATGTCAACCTAGTGTTTATATTATTTCTGGATAAACTCCTCTTGTTGTATAATTTTTATTGCCCTAGAATAACAAAAATATTTGTACCAGGAAGTCAAAGAGTCTCAAAGCCGTGGTTTGATAGCAGTCTGAAAGAACAGATGAAACACTGTAATTTTATTAAATGACTTGTTAAAAATACCCAAGTATAGAAACGATAAGTTTAAAGCATTGTATCTTAATTTTAAGAAGCAATACAGGTCAGCTATCACTATAAGGCTAAAATTAAATACGACAGTTTTGTCAGTAATGCGCCAAATAAATGTGCAGGCGGCTCATAAAATTAGAATCCAGCATCAACACAACACAGAAGCTCGAGTCTCCAATTTCAGCTCAATAGTTTCTTTGTCAACTTTCTTAAAAAAGCAAAGCCGGGGTGAACAAATAGCCAAATTTCCCCTTCAGCCAAACCGGTCATTGCTATCAGTAGTAAGATTATTAAAAACCTCCCGATCCGAAGATATCTTTGGTTTGTCAAATAATGTTGTAAAGGAAATCATCCCTTTCATTTTAGAGCCATTAGTCTATCTCATAAACTTGATTATTATTTTTTTTTTCAGGTACATTTCCCCACAGCCTAATATTTTCCAAAACACACCCAATTCATAAAAAGGGAGACAGAACAGTTATTGATAATTTTAGACCAATTTCCATTGTTCAAATTTTTTTTAAGATAATTGATCATCATGTGAATTCTCAACTGTACAGCCATCATGATAAGTACGAAATTCTGAGCCCAGCTCAATTTTGTTTCAGACCTGGGTTTTCAACAATAAAGGCAGTTGACGAACTGATTTCTGAGTTCTTGAAGTCTTTTGAAGACAACAAACATCTTAATGTAGCTGGATCTTAAGCTTTCGATAGTACGTCACACCAAATTATTTTGCAAAAATTAAAAATTTATGGAGTCCAAAACAAAGAGCTAAATTTCTTTGATACATATCTATGTGGCAGATTCCAACAAGTGGTTGTTGGGCAGGACTCATCTGAGTTTGTGGAAACTCTAGCGGGAGTCCCTCAAGGGTCGGTGTTAGGGCCTATTCTGTTTCTATTAATGATTAACAACTTACCTAGTAACTTATCTTGCCAATCACTCTTATATGCCGATGATACCACTTTCTTTTCCTCAAGTAGTAGTTTTACTGAGTCTGAAGCCACAGTCAACAACACAATTACTTTATCTTCTAATTGGTTTAATGCAAACTCTCTTATCTTAAATCATGAGAAAACTGAGTGGATTTGCTTTTTGCTAAAACACTTAGAAGGTTCAAATATCCCGTTATCAGTGAAACTTCTAGGCATACATTTGGATGCAAAGCTTACCTGGCAACGCCACACTACGCATGTTGTGTCTAAGATCTCCCGAGTATGCTTTTTGTTAAGAAGACTTAAGAGTTGTGTCTCGGATAGTATGCTCATTACTGCTTATTACAGTTTCTTCCACTCTCATCTTCTGTATGGAAACATTCTGTGGGGTAATAGCACTGGAGCCAGAAAGGTTTTCTCATGGCAGAAAAAAAACACTTAGAATAATTTTTTATATACCACGCAGAACGACCAGCAAACCTTTCTTTATCAAACAAAATCAGGCATTGTGAAATGTCTACTACAATAAATTGATTTGATTTGATTTGATTTGATTTGAAACACAGAATAATGACTCTACCATGTATATTTAAACATTCCTGTACTAGGCAAAGATGAAATTGCCAAAAAGCTTGCCAATGGTATTTCTGGAGGAGAAATTATTTCACTGGCAAAATCTTGTGATAGAAGGCCTTCAAGGCTAAAAGTACTGAACAAAAAAGATATTGCCAACATAAGAAGTCAGTATGGTGTTTTTAACCTTTTCTCTTATGTTATGAAACATATTTCCTTAGTACTTTACTGTATAAACTTCGATAATTGTATGATAAGCCTGTGCCTCTATTATAGTATGTGTCCTGTTTTTAAAATGTCTAGGTAAACATTTAAAGGTTAAAGTAATTTTACTTTGCAAAGTCGATTGTCTGTCTATTATAATACATGTCCCATTTAAACTACATGGATACATTTTGTGAATTCATTCATTTCTGTACAGTGTCTTTGTTATTTATTATAGTTTTTGTTTTCAACCATTCCTAAAGGTGAATAGGCTAATTCATCTTGTATGACATCGTAATAAATAATAATTACCATTTTTTGTAAAAGTTATTAAAGTGAAAGTTTTTCTTGAGTTGAGTTGAACTTAAGTTTATTTGCTATAGTAATATGTGTCCTATTTATACTACATATACGTATATTTCATTCATTTGTGCAATAATAAAAAACCCTCTTAGCTACACTTATTCACCCTACTGCATTGTTATATTCTGTAAGTAGGTTGTGGTACTGACCTCAGTTACTGCCATTGTTTTTTACACAGTATTGAAGAGTATTATCATGGCCGAAGACACCAGAGGTTAACAAACAAAACTTTCATTTTTTTTATTAACTATAATGTACAAAATTAAGCATTACTATACATGAAACCTTTTCAAACCGTAATCAGACAAGGGATTGGATTTAACAAAACAGGTACTGAATTCAACTCTGTACAATAATAAAAACACAATCATCCTGTTTTTTAGCCAAGGGACATTTTTCTGACCGTTTTCTAATACAGAACACTCGATTATTTGAACCCTCAGGTAATCTGAAAGTCATTTCAGGCCTAAATATATAGCCTATTTGTTTTTTTTTTAAATAATTACCTTACGCTATTAACATACGTTTTTAATTAAAGTAAAGCAAATATAGTAATTCATTTAGATTTGTTTGAATTAATACTTGAAATAACCATCACTAGATTAATCAGGAGTACTGTATTGAATAAAACATTGCAACCGAACAAGGTAAAACTGTCTATGAAAACAAAACAAATTCTGCTTATGCTTGGAATGTTAGTTCTGCATGAATGATTCATTGAATCCGTGGAAGATTGCTAGTCTTTTCAAAACATGCCGAGGTTTTCCTCCATGAACTTGAGGTACACGGCCATGAATTGTGCCACAAACGCCTCTAAATGGAAGATAGGCTTACTGCCTCTGTAACACTGGTGCTCGTATGTCGCAGCCAACTCCACCACCTGCGGCTTCAGCTCTACATCACAGTTCTTCAATAGCTCTTTCAACAATCCCTGCAACAACAACATTAGTCCTATATTTTATAGAATCACTAGCTGCTGTACCCGTGCTTCGCAACGGGAAGATATACTATAACCTTGTTAAGTAGATCAAATTTATAAACAAAAAGCCTCTAAATTTTTTCAAAAAAGGATTACCTAAACTGTAATTATCCTAGCCCTAGATAGGGCCTACAATAAATCAAATATATCAATAACATAATTTTCATAAACTACGGTTATAGAATCTTTCTTTATTTTCATAATCAATGACGTAAACAAACCTAAGAGATCATGGTGGAAGGAAAATAGTGTGCTATTCCCGTCATATTCTGACGTCACTCAGATTGCAAACAAAAGATCACCTGATTGTAACTGTCAAATTAGTATTTGTTTTGATTTGGTTGTTATTGTTTTTATAATGAACACATTCAACTATTTTGAAAACATTATAAAAACAATAACAATCAAGTTAAAGCAAACTAGTATACCTGTTGCTCGAATTCGAGCAATTGCGAAGCATTATAGGCGACTCAAAGATTATGGAAATACTCATGATCTACACAACAGTTAGATATAATCAAAATCTTTTGTAAATATCTTATCTTTTTTCAAAAAGCTTATCTAGTTTTTTTAGTGTTTTCTACAAAATTTTCCCTCTCATAGCCGCATTAGGTTGTCTATGACAACGATTATAAATGAAAAAAAAATTATTTCTATTTCTTCTACTTGGTTGTGTTCTATGACTTTTTCTATGTTTCCATTGTTTGCAAATCGATTATTTCAATGATTGCTCAAGAAATGTAGAACAGTGTTAATTCAGTTTTATTTTTAGCCTATATCAAATTGTCCAGGATTTCTCGCTCTTTTCTATTGTAATAATTACACCAACCCAAGTTTCGTCTACAGATGCAATATGCCAACAAATATCACCTACGTACAATCTCCAAGTGGTTAAAAAGGCAGAAACCAACCCATACAATAGATATAAGTTAACTCCAAAAGAAATAATTTTTAGAGTTACTGTGATATTAGGATTTTCCACTGATTTGGTAATAGAACATTATATTGCAAAACATGACACGATGCAGAAGAAAATCCAATTTAAAATCAGAAAAACGCATTGCAAATACTGTACGTCATTTTGACAAATTCAATAAATCACAATTTAAATATTAACAGCTGTTTCATTAAAAAGTAGTGTAGAATTATGCATATGGTCGTAATGTAAAGAAAATCTATAGAGGCAACTTTAAAGGCTTCTGGGGCAGAGCCCCAAGGGAATTTACCTCGTTCCTCTTTTGATGGCTCATCTACAGACCAAGACCTTTCTTTAGAGACCCATACCAAGTTTCTACGCCCAGCCATTCTCTCAAATTAGCTATGACAAAAACCCCGTTTTCCTCCATAAGAATAACATGGGATGGGAATTTAAAGGCCACTGGGGCAGAGCCCCAAGGGAATTCACCATGTTTCTCTTTTGATGGCTCATCTACAGACCAAGACCTTTCTTTAGACACCTCTACCGAGTTTCTACACCCAGCCGTTCTATCAAAATAGCTATGACAAAGAAAAACAGTTTCAAATTAATATATAGATACATACTAATTTGAATGTTATAATCAGGTGATCTTTTGTTTGCAATCTGAATGACGTCATAATATGACGGGAATAGCACACCTATGTATTTTCCTTCCACCATGCTACCACATAGTTGTGTAAAAAGTTGTATTTAATTTGTTTGGATCAGCTGTCTGAAATTGTGAAATAAGCATTAAGTGGAATGGGCATACGGGAGGGACGATGGCTAAAGGTGTGGTGACGTCATATCTATAGTGGCTAATGTCTTCTCTTGAGGCAACCAACGATATAAACAACTCATGGATCGCTGGCTCAGTGTTGGCCGCGCGGTCGAGCTTCCCCCACCATCTACTGGCAGAAGCCGACGCAGCCAGTATAACAAACATTCTGTTATAAAACACACTTTTTAGTTGCTGCTCTGTTGAAATTTATAGGGATAAAATATTGCTAACGCTTGTCAAACTCTTTTTACTAGTTAAACCTTTTATGTCTGTTTTGTTTCTTACAGAAAATAGCCCATCTGAATTCTTTAAAACTACAAATTCACTAAACCCGTTTTGTGGATGTTTTTAGACAACTGATATTGCTAGTTCCAAATTGTACATGGTAAAATAATAAGTAATTACAAAGGGGAAATATAAAGTACAATATTTGTAATTGAAATTCTATTTTATTAATTGAAAAAATAGTACATAAACATTTAGAATAATTTTGCTAAGTTTTTGCCGCAGTGGTAACGTTATGTTTGACGTAAACGCGATATTTTTTTCTTTCAATGTTTAATGACAATGTATCTTACAAAATAGGTCATAAAAAAGTATGCTTATCACGTTAATGTCAAGCATAGATTTGCGGTAAAAACTGGACAAATGTAGTAGGGTTTTTAAGAGTTCAAATGTGTTATTTTCTGCAAGAAAAGAAGAAGACATAAAGTTTAGAATAGTAAAAAGTGTTTGGCATGCATTAGCAATATATTATATCTATATATTTAAACAGAGCAGCAACTTAAAAAGGTGCGTTTTCAATGGTGAGTGTATGGGCTGCATCGGCTACTGCCAGTAGATGGTGGGGGGAGCTAGACCGAAAACAGCGCCCGCAGTGCTACGGAGAGCGCAATCCAGTAGTTTTTACATCGTTGGAGGCAACACGATTACCGTAACAAGACGATGTGTTTCCAGCTGCAGTCGTGGCATAGTTGATAGCGCATCGGACTAGTGTTTAGGAAGTCTCGGGTTCGAAACCCGCCAGGGACACTGACTTTTTGTCAAAGATTTTGCTTTATTTGATTTTTATCTTATATCACTTTTATACTATCAGCAAGTTTGGTTGGTTAGGTTAGGTTATGACAGTTTAATTTTATAATTAAAAAATTCATTTTATAACTAAAACCTATAAAATTAATTTAAATTTTTCAACTTAGCGGTTCTAGCGACGAACGCTGACACTATGTTAGCCATAGTCCCTCCCGTGTGCCCCACCGAGCATTAAGTAGTTCTGACTGTTTACATGCAAAGGTAAACAAAGTTTGTGAATTTTCTCATGCTTCCATGGAAACCAATTAATATTTACTTTTGAAACCCTCACCTCAAAACTTTGGACATCCAAGAGGAGTGGCACGAAAGGAACTCAGGGACAGTGTATCCACACGACCAAAAAAATAATCCCGCTTGCCGGGTCGAAAAATCCCGTTTAAACCCGCTTTTGAATTATGGAAAATCCCGTTTTATCCCGCATGTTTTTTTGTTCAATCGCGAGTGTTATATTTGACGTACCATGTTTAAATAGTTGTTTAAACATTGCTATTATCTTTTGCTACAGTAGTTTAATCAATTGTAGTTCGTTTTCCCCTCAAGTTAAATAGAAAAAAATAAAAATATACATCATAGCTGAAAATCCCGTTTTATCCCACATCCCGTTTTAATCCCGCTCGTGGTCTAAAAATCCCGTTTTTGGGATAATAATCCCGAGAATGGAAACACTGCTCAGGGAAGTGAATTTAGTCCTTTTTCATTCCTAGGTATGTGGACAATCTTTGTGCTTAATTTGGTCTCTGTCGGTTTAGTATTTTAGTCAGAACAGGCATAGGCAGTAATAATGTTTAATCATGAGGTAGCCTAATTCAACTCATATAAATAAGACACAATACAACAAAGTTTCTTTAAAATTCTTGACTGCCACAGTAAAAATAAGTTATTAAAAGTGCAAAGGCAGAATGCTGCACTTTGAATTCTTTTTTTTTTTTTTGCTGAGAAAGTATCGGATGTTATTCTGAATATGTGGCAATCATATCAAGGGTAGACTTCCGTATCTGTTGGCAACAAACAACCGAATGAAGATATTGATTATTCGATTGTTTCATTCAATGTATTGTTTGGTTAGTTAGGTTAGGTTAACCTTACCTAACTAACCAAACGATATATCGAATAATTGATATATCGATCGATATTTTCATTCGGTTGTTTGTGACAAAAGATACGGAAGTCTACCCCATATCAACACTAGTGATCATCTTATGCAGTCACGGCAATAATTGTCATGATTTCCTGTAATGGCGGTGAAATCCATAAATCTCTCAAAATGGTTTGAAAATTCTAGATAAATTACTGTGATTGTGGCAAAATCTAGGATCATTTCTTACAATTGCCGTAACATTACTTACAACACACACGGTAACATCGCAATCATTTCAAGGCAAATTGAGTGATCTCTGGAAAATTTAAAGAATAATCTCATATATTTCACAGCATCATTTCTTTCAACATCCCTGCCATAGTAGGTTTACTTTTATTGAGGATTTATTGTAAACATCAACAAGATTCTAAAAAGGCTCTTATTAGTGCAAAGGTTTTACAAATTCACATTCAAAACTCACTTTGAACACAATGTTGATGGGAATGCCGTGGACTAGCAGCTCATATAGCCGGGTGCGGACTGTCATTAGCTTAGCTGGACTCTGCTCTTGTAGGATGATCTTGGCTGTATCTCTCATGTACACTTGCCAGTCTGGCTCTGCTATCTTCTGATCAGCAGTGAAAGGGTACCTGTCACAACATAAAGTGTAAAACTTTAATTTAATCCTAATTAAAAAATTATAGTATATTTCATCACTAGGGCTTAAAGTGACTCTTTTTGACCCGAGATAAAGTCTTATGATCGAGGCGAAGCCGGGGTCGGAAAATGAGTGAGGGTTAAAAAACCATTTTTTGCCCATGTGGTGAACTATATTTTTTTATCATATTGCATCATTAATTAACAAACTAAGACAGAAAAAAAAATGTTTATGTAAAAATAACCTCTCAAAACGACTTCCAGCTTGTTTTCAATTCTGCTAATGCAAATAAGCAGCTGTTTAGCAAGTGATTCAATCATTTCGTCTATTACGATTGTGTTCCAGTACATTATCGATATGTCGAGCGATCGGCAACAATTGGCTAACACCTTACCTAATAAGTCAATTGATAAATAATTTCAATTGATACGATTGCCACAATCGAAATTTACAGACTGTTAACAACAGCTGATTTTCACTCCCTAGAGACTAAAAATGATTTTACTCTCTAGAGATTAAAAATGATTTTTAAACTCCCTAGAGAGTAAAAATGCTACTTTGGAACCGGAACGCATGCATTAAACACGGCTGTTTTTGCTGCAGTATGACGAAATAGTTATTTGTGTAACTAGTGGTGAAAGTGGCACTTTGCTGCACACGAGAGCAATGTTTACGCATGAGCCGCAGGCAAGTGCGGAATGATCTCGAGTGCAGCAAAGGCCTTTTTCACTCGTGTTACACATTATATTTTTCCTACAGTCACTATAAAGCATATAAATAATTAGTCTTTCAAACACTATAAAACACGTTTTTAGGTTCAGCTGGCAACACAAATGGTGCCCTAGAGAAAGTAATACCCCCGGTCCGTATCACTCCGCTATTTTTCCTCGGCAAGAAATGTGCTCCGCGTTTTGAGAATATAGTTCCGTATGTTTTTGAAATTTGAAGTGGTTTCCGCGCCTAAAAAAATGCTTTAAAGGTATTTTCTTGTTTATTAAGATCGTAGGAATGTTTTAAAAACGTTTAAAAGAAAAGTCCAGAAAGTTCAGAAACACCAAAACTATAAACACGAAATGACATTTTAAATCGTAGTTATAATAGTCAATCAGCTGCTCATAGTATTATTATCTTTAATGTTGCCAACCTATTTCTAAGCGTACACGGATTACGTGCATAATAGAACCACGCTGATTTGTGTTGTTTCGTTGGAATCCTGATGTGTGGCAAAGTATAAACCATACAGCAAAGTATAAACCGTACGGCAAAGTATAAATATGCAGCAATTGGCAGCTTTCTGTACTATAAACAGTACAAGGAAGCCAACTTTGTCGGGTGACTGTAGGAAAAATGTATTATTACATGCATTGACATTGTGGAATGAAAGGTCTTTGGCAATTGGCACATGTGTAAAAAAACAAATAAATATCATTAATATAGGTCGGCCGGTTAGAAAGCGACCTGCGCAAAATTTTTAGCGCATGTAGGCATGCATGTAGGGGAGGTAACGGCGAGGGAGGGTATGTTCCCCCTCTCCGCGTATTTGTTTACATTTTGATCAGCTGTATAATTTAATTGCTGTTAGTATTTTAGTTGCAACTAGCTGTACCCGCGGGCTTTGCCCCGCTTAACTTCATAAGTATTCGTATGGCTCAATCACGTCATGGTTGAAGTTCGTTCGCTACGCTCACTCACCTTCAGGTTGGAAATCGTTCGCTGCGCTCACTTGTTTTCAGGTTAGCTCGTTCGCTACGCTTACTCGTCTCCAGGTTGATGTTCCTTCGCTACGCTCACTCACCTTTTGGTTGCAAATTAGCTGTTGTCATAAATTAAAAAAGTCATCCCTTTTATTGTTTATAATACTTTGATAAAGGTTTTAATGTTTTATTATTTAACATTGGAGAATTTAAACGTTGTTGAGTGCACAGGTGTGCTGCGATTGGGGTTTAATACATTTGGACTTATTAAAAAGTAAAATAGTTTTCTGTGCTGCACTCTGTAGAAACACTATGGCACTATTTCAAATCATGACTAATGCTAATACAGAATGTTGTAATTATTCAAACCTACAAAACAGTTGGTAAAAGTAAACATCTGCTTTTAAATTATATTTATTTGTAAACATTGTAGATAAAAAATTCTGACATTGGCCCACTTAAAACGCTCTGGGGCAGAGCCCTTTTGACAAATCTGCACCAAACTTCACTCGAACCATCCTTGAAAGATGCTTAATAATGCCTGAAAGTTTCATTACAATCTGTCGAGTGGTTTCGGAGTCCATAACGTATATATACATACACACACACATACATAGTTCCTCTTTTATAGATATAGATTTAAGGGGACGTGTGTTCGGGAAGGGTGGGTCGGCAGCGGAGTAGGGGAAGAGCCATAGTCAGTCTCACCCCCACAGCTCGGTATATCTCTATCTCACACCAATGCTATGAGGAGGTCGTTTTCTGACCGGCCGACATATAGTCATTCTAATAATCAAATGTAATTTCAGTTACTTACTCATTAGGTTTTGAAACAGCTGTCAAAATTCTTTAATTACAGTACTTTTAAATATGAATAGTCATCAGGTTAACATGGGAAATTCCAGAGCCACTGGGGAAGAACTCAAAAGGATTTTTGAGATAAGGATAGACTTATATGTTAATCGGGAATATGAACTATCATAATGCCGAATTTCAGTCCAATCCGACCAGTAGATAATGTGTGATTGAATTTCAAACAAACACACAAACTTTCACATTTATAATATTAGCATGATAACATAGAAATTATTGTTTGTTTTACCTTATACTGTGGCTGGTTTTGGGTGATATCTGGTTTCCATGGTAACACAACCTTGTTTGTTATTCCCAAAAATAAATGAGTAAATACTAAATATCCAAAACAAGAAGTAAGATATTTATAGAAATCATAAAAGTAAGAAGAAACAAATAGGGGGGAAAATGATAATAAAATAACTAGTGGCACTGCATAGCGGTGACACGAGCGGCCCTCGTAAGTTGGCCGCCAGGCCTGCAGCGGCCGTACGAGTAACTTTGTAAGTCAATGGGTAAAGCTAGTATGGAAATAACAATAAACAATTTGTAAGAAAAAAACACACCCCTGGAATTAGGATTAGCCTAAATACGTTATTGAAAAAAATTGCATTAATAGTACGGTATTGTAATAATAGGCCTATTTATAGTGAACTGTTCTACTCACTGTTGGACTTTACAAGCTTCACACATCAGTATGGCTCTCCTCAGGTTCCTGTCACATTTCTCAGCAATCTTGTCAGCAAACTCTACCGGCAACGTGAGGCCCTCTTTCTTACAAACACTCTGAAAATGAAAAAATCTATATATAAAATCCAATGTATGAATGTTTGTTTGTTTGTCCTTTATGGACTCCGAAACCGCTTGACAGATTGTAATGAAACTTTCAGGCATTATTAAGCATTATTCAAGGATGGTTTGTGTGAAGTTTGGTGTAGATCCGTCAAAAGGGCTAAGCCCCAGTGGCTCTGGAGTTTCCCATGTTAACCTTATGAGTACCGTACTCATATTTAAATGGAATTAAAGAATCTTAACAGCTGGTTCAACTAAACAATTTGATTCTGTGATGCTCAATAGCATTAAAAAGTTAATAGGTTTACCAACGGGGTGCAGCACTATTATTTTATTTATAACTTATAATTTGATTTTATTTATAATTTGAAACCAAAAGGTGAGTGAGCGTAGCGAACAAACTTCAACCTGGAGGCGAGTTAGCGTAGTGAACGAGCTAACCTAAAGGCAAGTGAGCGCAGCGAACGAGCTGCAACCCAAAGGTGAGTGAGCGTAGCGAACGAACTTCAACTAGGACGTGATTGAGCCATGCGAACGAGCTCATCTTGAAAATGAACGAGCATTTGACATAAAACCACATTAGGACAGGACGACGTCTGTCGGGCCAGCTAGTGTCTTATAAAAACAATTTGTAAATTTAAAATTGTAAGCCATTCCTTAATAGGAGGACCCAATACAGAGGATAAGTAGGCCTGTAATAAACTAACACAATGTAGACATCTTCATCTTGTAATATCTTGGATGTCAATGGTGGACGGTCGTAGACTTGCAAAAACCACTTGGTAGCTTCTATGCACTGTTACCTAATTACATTGCCTTAAAACTAGTCCAGTATTCTTCTTTTGTCAATCTGTGTCCACACTCATGTTGATTAAAAAACAACTACCAGACAATGTTATATCCCGACTTAGGTCAATGGTTTTGTCAAAATAAGTTCCTTTTAAAGATGTGGCTTTAATTTACTATCATTGAATGGTATTTTTTTGGAAACTAAAGAGAGTGAAGCAGAGGATATGGAAACTTAAGTAAGATTTGAAAATTTGCATATAAGCTATGAAGGAAACACAGCTTGTGTTTCAAGATAAGATCGCGCCACTCATCCTACACTCATCTCCATTCATACTTGGCTTAAAATACCTACTTTGTATAGTCGCCATTTCATTGAACAGTACTGTATTGAGCCGTGACTTGTCCACCAAGCGTCCCACCAATGTCACGCCTCAGTGTTTTTTGTATAGTACGAGTACTGGCTTTGCGCCGGAACTCAGTCGGTTTGGGTCGGGCAGCAATCCTGCAACCCAGAGTCAATGTCCGCCTTCTGTCACATTTTCACCAGAAGGCCGGCGATTGTCAATTTGTAAAGACTTGGGTATCTTCGATGAATATCAGTGTTAATCTTTCAATGTCACTGTTAATTTTGTTCATCCGTTCTTCGTAGACTCTAGTCATGGTTTAAGTGTTTTGCCAGACGTCAGATGAGTAAGTTGATTGATTATTTTTGATTTGTTTAGGTTAGAAAGTTTCTGAATTAGTTTTGGCCTTCGGCCACATGTTGTGCAGACTTTGAGTGAGTTTTGGCTAGTGAAAAGCAAGTATTAAGCACCTTCTGTGCATTGGTATTACTTTTAATTACCAATTACTTGTTTTTCAAGGCGCTAGACCCATTTCTGAGCCTGGAATTGTTCAGAGTTTCAATGGGCCTTTGGCCAAGCCTTGTGTGGTCAGACCACAAGTTTTCCTGGTTAGTTTTGTAGTTTTTGTTGTTGCCAAGTTTTCAAAGCTTTCCCCGAGACTCTAGGCCAGATATTACCCAAGAAAACTCACTTTGAAACTCACTTTTGTGCGGGCTATGGTCCGTTTGTTCTGTGTCCCTGTTAATTTATTATTAGGCCTAAGGCCTAGTTTGTGCTCAATTTTGTTTTGTTATTGTGGCCTACATGTTGTTTAATGTAAATTTTGTCCCTCTGTCCCCTGTAAAAGTGTTTTTTTGTTAGTTGTAATGTAGGCCATGTCACTCAGCCTAATTTTTTTTAGTTAAGTAATGGCGCCTCCTGGGGGCCAAGCTCGGTCATAATTAGTTAGTTTTAGTGCTCTTACTTGTCCCCTGCAATTTTCATTAAGTTTGGATAATAAATGACCGAGTTATTTAAGTTTTAGTTTAGCGCATTTCTGTTTGCTGAGTGACCGTAGGTAACTGACCCCCTACCTAGCCTCAGGCTAGTTGGTAGGCATGGGTTTGTCTTTTAAAAGCTGCGGGCACCTGTGCCACAGCTTTTAAAAGCAATTTGAGCAAATTTGGTTGGTAATAACCGGAGTTATTACCGGTTTTACCTGAAAATGCACCTCCAGCCAAAGAATTTTTAATATTTTGTGTAAACTGTTTTTTGAAGTATTCATTGTAGTATTTATGTAATTGTTTTGTGTTTTATTAGTGTATATTACCCTTCTGGACCCTAAATTCATATTTTTTATTGTCAACTTAAATCTTTATAAAATTTTACTGTCAGAATGTGTTGTTAAAGTTAGTAAAATTTAAAAGTCTATTTATTGTTATGTTTTAGAGCTTTATTGAACTGAATTAAATTATTTCTAGTCATTTTACTTTTTCTAATTTTAAAGACTGTTTTACAAAGGAAAGCCTATATAAAAAAATTTATATATATATATTATTTAACAAATTACTTCTTCAATAGTTTTGGTCAGTGAATGAGTGGTGCAGAAATTGTTTTTGAATTTATTGCTTGAAAACCTGGATAGGCCTAACACTGCAGTCATATGAAGCCTAAGAAATGAACTTTTATTAGTTAGGCCTGGAATCTGTTCAAAGGGTCCCAGATGGGAGGCTCTTACTGGTTGCTGCTTCCGGAGAGGTTCGCCCAGGGAGACACTACTCCTTCTCCGGCTTCGGGCTGCTCATTACCCTGCTCCTGGGACCAGTAAGCCTTCGTCTGCTTTCTACTACTATGCCGCCCTACGCCATCTTCCGGATAGATCACCGCCGCCCACCATTAGTGTGATGTGACTAATGACCACGTTCCGCAAGTTACCATATTTTAAATTTGTTGAGATTTTTGGACTGAATTTGAAATTTTGAAAAGGAGCTCCAATAATTATGGTTTAGCTTACTAGTCATGATCCGTTATTTATTTTATAGTTATTGTGAAGTATTTATTGTTAATTTATTTAAAGTTTATATATTACAGTTACCATTTTTTTAAATTATTTTCATTGTTAGGCCTAATTTTGCTACTGGTACCAGTTGTAAGTTTAGAAGGGTAAACTTAAAATTCTAATTAATTTATTTTTTTTTGAGAAAGCCTTAAGAGATTAAAAAAAAAAGAAAAATTCTTTGGATGGTTACTCTGTTTGATTGTTGATTGTTATTTTGTTGATTTCATTGAAAAATTATAGGCTTTGTTGACAACTGTTTGTTTTTTTGATATTCACCCACGGCCTTTCATTTTTGTTAGGGATGTGGGGCGGCCACTCGCACTGCCACTATGGGGGGCATGCTTCCAATAGTTGTTCGTCTGGGGGCGGTGCGAGGGGTCGGCTCAGATGGTAGCAGAGCGTGGTTTTTTGTGCTCTATCCACGAAGGGCCGTGGTTGGATTTGATTTTTGGGTGATGCTGGTCTGGCAGTCTTAGGAATTTTTGAAGAAATGTTGTCGTGGTGGGGTAAGCACACTGTTGTAGTTTTCTATTAGGAGCTCGCCCTTGGCCGAGTCACCGGGTGGAATCTGGTTAATGACTTGCATCCTTTGGGAGCAAGAGTGTCAAAAGCATGGCCAAACCCAAAATTGAAACTGTGTGTGTGTGTGTTTACCTCATCACACAAATGTTAGGTGTTGTTGTTTAGTGTATGTATGTTGTGTGTATGTCGTGAGTGTAAGGTCCGTGTTTTTGATTTGGTGGCTAAGGCGGTGTGTATGGGCAGGTTCTTCTGTTTGGGACCTCATCTGACTGTAGGCATTTCAGTCCAGAGCCTTTAGTTAGTTAAGTTTGTGAATTGTTCGTTGTAAAAAAAAAAAAAAATTTTGTGTGTTTTGTAGGTAGGTCGACTGACTGAGAGCAAAATGGGTTTGTTTGCTCCACTGCCCAATCCCATTGCTGGGGTTTTGAGCGACATTCGCCCGGTTGATGGTTTAGAGGTAGAAACTTTGTTGGAGTTTTTGGGAAAGGTGTTGCACCTGAAGGAGTTCCCAGGCATGGAGGACTCAGTAGTGTTGGAACTGCTGGTTCCACTCTGCCTGAGACCTCTTGGTGACAAATTGTTAGATTGTTTGAAACGGGGAGTAAATTTTGACATTTTTCACAGTGAAGTGCTTGAGCTCTTTGTCCCCTTCAGGGTCATGGAGAGATTGAAGGTTGAGAGAGTGCTTCGTCCTCAAAAATTTGATGAGACTCTCAGTCAGTATGTGGGTGACATTCGTGGCGTGTGGCGTGTCCTACGGCTGGACATCCCTGAATCCCAACTGGTGGACATTGTCTTGCAGGGGTTGAAGCCTGAGGAGCGGTCCAGACTGATTTTTGCTCCAAAGCCTTCTTCTTTTGCAGACCTGGATAGGTTGGTCATCCTTTCACGGAGCGTTCAAGACGCTGATTGTCAGAGGGAGCACGTTGCGGGGCATCTTCCCCGGACTGGTCCCCATCCCGCTGTAGCATCCGTGTGTCGAGGTCCTGAAACACCGCAGAGACAGAGGCATCCTATTGTTTGCTTTGGCTGTGGTCAAACAGGTCACATGAGACGAGAATGTCGTCAGAGGGTTAATCTTGGGACTTTGTCCAAAAACCTGAGTAGCTCACAAGGGGAAAGTTTGCCTAAACCGCCCTGTGAGAAAGCTGTTTTGGAGAAAGTCAGTAAGAATTTTGTTTCTGTGAGTACTGCCCCTTCTGGGAGTGCTGGTTTTGGGGAGCCTCTGTCGCGGGGAATGAGGGAGCTTGCATGCATGGGAGTGAAAGCGGCGCGCTCAACTTGCCCACGACTCAACATCT